GACAGATTACTCCCATGGAGCATGTAATCTGTGAGGTTGATTATTGGAAAGCGCAGTCACTATCCCCAGACTATTGTTGGCTTGTAGTGGCCACCATTCGTGCTATGACATGATATGATATGATATAATGATCATATCATAGCGTGGTTCGCCTGATAGACAGGCGATGCCATATAGGCTGAGCAGGTGAGCGCGTCCCAAAACCCCAATTACAGGATCAATATGGGAGACAAAGAGAGAGTCAAACACTGCCCGTCTTTCCCCACGCACAGCTAGCCTAAACAACTAAATTGCATATTTATAAGCAATGTGAATCCGAAGACGCGTCCCTATTTTATCACTAATTAGTATCTGAAGCGTGCTCGAAACTTAATGTATTACACAATGTCATGTGCGAGCACGTTATTTCCAAAACCGTGCAGGAACTTCGTCTAAATCGCGGCGCTTTCTGCTGTTATGCAAGTTGAGCTGTGGGAGTTTCGTGCTTGCTGTTTTGTGCCGGCGAGGAATCCGCCGGATGGCCATAATTATATTGCGGAGGCATGATGAGCCCCTGCTCTTAGTTACGAGGACGGCACAAATCAAATTGGAGGGAACGAAGATATGGAGAACACCCGCGCAACTTATTGGTGGATAACATGAGAGATGTCGCCAAGAGTTAGTGTTAAGGCAAGAGCGGCTAAGAAAGCCCAGAAACAAACAATGCAGGCGATAATATTTTGACATGGTTGAAATCCCGCGTGATATAATGGTGGCCAGTGTGGGAAATGACGCCCAGGAGCGTAACAAGGAAACAGTATTGGCCGGTAAGCATGGGAAATGACGCTCGATACTTTAACAAAGAAACAAACCAAAAACAGAAAGCAATAGTCCTAATACGTGGGTTCGTGATCCGCGTAACAGACGTGGATAAAACGTGCTGGCTCTCAAATGGAATTGTTCATGGCTTTTTTGCATGGCAGTCGTGCAGGACATTGCTCTGGGTTTGTATGATAGGTTCCGGTCAGACTGTAAACAAATACAAATACACCCTCACATTTGCGTAAGATGACGTAAATTTGGTAGCCATTTCGTGCTACTTTTACGGCACCACTACTTCATTTCTGACGAATCGTGGCGTGCTGACTACTTCTGGTGGTTCGGTTCTGATGGGTTTGG